CTTTTGAGCTACAATGACAGAGTTGAGCAGTTGTAACAAAAGACTGTTTAGTCTGCAAAGCCTAAAATATGTGCTATATAACCCATTACGAAAAATGTTTACCAACCCCTGCTGTAAAGCAGAAGTAAATTAGTGTAAACTTTATTATATATGTCAATGTTTGCATCACAAAAATAGAATAGTAGCAGAAAGGAGAAAACAAAAATACATCAGTGTAAGATTTTTATGCTGTACATAAAGTTTTTGATATTATTTTGAGGTAGAATGTGATAAAGATACATATTGTGAACTTCAGAGCAACTACTAAAACTGCAGCAGAGGTGTAACTAATGAGCCAACAGCAGAAAAACATGAAATTACAAACAAATTAATTAATCCAAAGATGCAGTAAAGAAGAAAAAAAGAACAAAATATAAAAAGAACTAAGGGGGGGAAATCTTTAAAAATAGTAGATTTAAACCTAATAATTACACTAAAAGTTTTTAAAAATCACTGCAATCAAAAAAATACACTGTCAGGTTGAATTAAAATTTCTTAAAGAGTGAAGAATAAAGCAGTAGCATAGTGCTGTCAGCAAGACACTGGAATAGAAGTTCTCCAACTTTATTCTCTTCTTCCACAAAAATTCAACTAGCAACCAATCATAGGCAAGAATATTATCCTGAATATCTCAGAACACAAGAGGAGGCTAAGAAAGTTGCTTGGACAACAAAACCAAGAAAAGCCACAGCCAAACAATAAATGGAACAAATTTTATTTAACTGTGTCACTGCTCCACCCAGCTAGCAAAGCATTACACACTGAGAATTTTACTGGACCCACAATTTCTACTGTGGGAAAAGTGAGTTAGAGGCAGACATTCAGCATCTCCATTATTCTGGGACCTATTTTTTTTTTTTATTTTTTTTTTAGACGGAGTTTCGCTCTTGTTACCCAAGCTGTAGTGCAATGGCACGATCTTGGCTCACCACAACCTCTGCCTCCTGGGTTCAGGCAATTCTCCTGCCGCAGCCTCCTGAGTAGCTGGGATTACAGGCACGCGCCACCATGCCCAGCCAATTTTTTGTATTTTTAGTAGAGACGGGGTTTCACCATGTTGACCAGGATGGTCTCGATCTCTTGACCTCGTGATCCACCCTCCTCGGCCTTCCAAAGTGCTGGGATAACAGGCCTGAGCCACCGCGCTCATCCTATTCTGGGACCTATTGCAGGAGGCTCACTCCTATCTCATTCCATGAGAATCTTTGGAAGTACTGGCAAGGCTGGACCACCAAAGGTCAATTAGAAACCAATGGTAGTAATGGGGCTCACGGCAAAGGTGTGCAGGTCTCAGTGTTTGCTTTGCATTCTGGCCAATGGAAACACCACACCAAAGGAAACTAGCCAACAATATTACCTGGTAAGAAACATAGACTATAGGTCTTCCAGGCTCAAAATCTTGGCCAGTTTCTCTGAACAACCTAGGTGCTCTCATTGAGTCTTTCCCATGTTCATCCCAGTCAGCCGCTGCTCCGGCCTTGGAAAATCAAAGGATGCTTGCCCAGTCAGCACCAGCTGCAGCAGTCCTGGACTTAGAGACTGCACTAGATGATCTGCTCAGAATTTCTGAGCAGTCTTACCATTGAGAGACATTTCTAGGCAAAACCCAATTGCAAAAACTGGAATAAATACCTAAGTCTTCAATAGCAAACATCAACAAACAACCACAAAGAGCAAGAACAAGCAGGGAAACCTAATGTCACTAAATGGAAAAAAATAAGGTACTAGTAGTTACTGACCCTAAAATTACAAAGATGAGTAAAATTTCTGACAAACAATTCAAAATAGTTGTTTTTTAAAAGCTTAGCAAACATTAAAAAAACACCAAGAAACAATTCAGAAATTTATCGAGAAATTCAACAGAAAGAATAATAATTTTAAACATGTTAGAGCTCAATAATACAATGAACAAAATGAAAAAATGCAACAGAGATCACCAATAGCAAATTTGATCAAGCAGAAAAAAGAAAATGTGAACTGGAAGACAAATTATTTAGAAATATATAGGCAGAGGCTGGGTGTAGTGCTCATGTAAGTAATCCAAGTGTTTTGGGAGGCTGAGGCAAGTGGGTCACTGGAGATCAGAAGTTCAAGACCAGCCTGGCCAACATCGTGAAATTCTGTCTCTAATAAAAATACAAAAATTGGCCGGGCATGGTGGGGCAGGTGCCTATAGTCCCAGCTACTCAGGAGGCTGAGTCAAGAGAATCACTTGAATCCAGGAGGCAGAGGTGGCAGTGAGCTGAGATCATGCCACTACATTCCAGCCTGGGTGATAAGAGTGAGACTCCATCTCAAAAAATAAATAAAATACGATAATATATCTTATTTATATACATATACACACACACACACACACACACACACATATTGGCCTGGGATATGATATTATACACAATATATATTATATATTATATTATATACTATTATATATTATGACATATGTAGAATATATATTATATATACTATATAATACAGTATATAATATATATGTTATATATAACATATATATATATATATATATATATATATATATATATATATATACATATTGGCCTGGGATATTATCCACCCATGCTGGCTGAAGAACCTGTGCCTGTGTTCTTAGCCAGAGTAACAGCCCCATGGTTCCAAGGCCACCAAATCTCAAGTTGGCTAATCCACTGCATGCACACATCAAGCATGAAAAAGCAAGAAAACATATCACCATCAAAAAAAAAAACAATAATTCTCCAGTAAGAGATCCTAATCATAAGAAAATATTTGATATGCCAGAAAAAGAATCCAAAATAACAGTCTAAGAAAATTCAGTGAGATATAAGAGAATACACATAGATAAATGAAATCAGAAAAATAACTCATATTTAATGATTCAACGGAGGGATAGATATCATTTTTGAAAGATTAACAGAAATCTTAGAGCTAAAAAATTCAATATTTAAAATTTTTAAAAAGTCTACTGAGAGATTCAACAACAGATTAGACCAAGCAAAAGAAAGAATTTCTGAACTTGAAGATTGATCTTTTGAAATATGCAGACACAAAAAAAAATTGAAAAGAATGAAGAAGATTTACAGACTTTATGAGACATCCTTAAGCAAACAGACATTTGTATTATGGGCATTCCAGAAGCAGAAGAGAAAGAAGGAAAAAGTTAAGGAAAACATATTTAATAAAATAACAGCAGAAAACTTGGAGTCACTGAATTTTATCAGAAAATGTAGATTTCTGGACATATAATACTTTAGGGGATAAAGACCTTATATGGTGATAAAGGAATTAAGTCAACAAAAAATGACAAGTTTAACTGTGTATGCACACAAAGCAGAGATTTTATACACATTTTTTAAAGAGAGCCGTAAACCTGAAAGAATAGAAAAATCAACAATACTCCTCTAGATAACATAAGCAGATAGAAAATTAATAGAATACAGAAGATTGGAACATTAGAACCTTGATTTAATTAAGGTTCAAGTGCACATGGAACTCTCATTTTCTTTTCAAGTGCACATGGAACTCTACTAAGTGCACATGGAACTCTACTAAGGTAGAATATATTGTGGACTATGAAACAAGTCTCAACAAATTTAATAGAATTTAAAACGTACAAAATATATGTTCTAAATTCACATAAATAAAGGTAAATAACAAAAGTATACCATTAAATATTCACAAATATTTGGAAATTAAATAGCATTTTGAAATAATCCACAAAAACACATAAAAAAAATTTTAAATACATGGAAATGAAAATAAAACGTATCAATATTTGTGTGATGAATTTAAGCCAATGTTTAGGGAAAGTTTTATAGTGTTAAATGATTTTATAAGAAAATACGAATTTCAAATCAATAAAGTGTCTCCCTGTAAAAATGATAAAATAGGAACAAATTAAATTCAACATAGGTGGAAGGGAACACTATCAGTGTGATCAGAAATCAATTAAGTAGAATAGATAAAACAATATAAAAAATTGAACAAAAAACCCAATCTTTGAATAAATTGATACAATTGATAAAGACCTAGCCACTCTTAAAATGGAGAGGAAAATAGAGAGAAAACAAATGACCAATAGTAGCAATGAAAGATGAGACAAAAATACAAGTAAATTTGATTATGTAGAAGAAATGGAATCCTTGAAAGATGCAAACTAAAGACCACATGCATCATGATTCCATTATATTACATTCTGGAAAAGAAAAGTATAGGGACATAATTATAGCAGTTGCCAGGCCTTTACATTTTGGGAAAATGATTAACAACAAAGTTAATCCTTTTGGGATGATGAAAATATTCTACATCTAGACTTTGGTTGTGGTTTATATGAGAGTATAGATAAAATTACAGTACCTCTGAAGATGGTAACTTAAATTAAAAAAAACAAAGAAGGCCAGGCGTGGTGTCTCACACCTATAATTCCAGCACTTTGGAAGGCCAAGGCATGCGAATCACGAGGAGTTCGAGACCAGCCTGGCCCAGATGATGAAACACCGTCTCTACTAAAAATACAAAAATAAGCTGGGTGCAGTGGTGGACGTCTGTAATCCCGGCTACTCAAGAGGCTGAGGCAGGAGAATCACTTGAACCCAGGAGGCAAAAATTGCAGTGAGCCGAGATCACGGCACTGCACTGTAGCCTGGGCAATAGAGCAAGATTCCATCTCGAAAAAAAAAAAATTGTCATGTCTAGATGTGATACTTGGTACTGTGGAAACCATCCTGCCATCCTAACGGAAACATGTTTGAGAAATGTAGTTACATCCAAAGACGAGATTGTTAAATGGGAGGAAGGGTTTAGGTACTTGATGATATTTTTGAAACAATTAATTAGCCAACCCTGGAGCTAGCTGGAGCTACTCTTTCCAAGGACTCTTTAATATATGCCATAATAACTTTCCCTAATTCAAAAATATGTATATAATCAAACTTACAATGCATATATTAAAATACTGTTTACGCAGGAATGATTCTACCATCATAATCTGAATGAAGAACAAGTACATGTAGCCGAGAATACATAAGTAAAAACGATTGTGTGGTAACTATGTATCCGCTTTTTCTGTCAATACTCATTTTAATTTCTAAGAAGATAAATTTCAAATAGCCAAAGATTATTTATTGATTATTTCAGCTTAGAATTAGTCCAACTTAAAATTAACTATGAATTTTGGAATTACATTTTAAGTTGAAATAATATCACAATAAAGCCATGTGGATGTTATAAATTTATTAGATAAATAAAACACACTAAGATTTTACTCTGGTGGTGCAAGTGAAATTATATTGTAAGTTAATGTAATCAGCAGCATTGCCCAAAGTTTAAACAAAGACAAAATCTGACATTTACTTCAGATGAAAACACATATTTACATTGCTTTTCCTTTCTTTACATGTAAATAGCCTTAAATATAATTACATATATACACATAAACATATGTATCTATATTTGTATATTATTATATTTTTATATGCACATTTATACATATGTTTGTAGGAGATTTGTTACAAGGCATTGGCTCACACAATTATGGATGCTGAGAGGTCTCATGATTCTACCTTCTAAAAGCTGGAGACCCAGGAAAACTAGTGTTACAGTTCTGAGAACCAGAGGGCTCATGATGTTAGTCCCTGTGTAGAGCGGGAAAAAGCTGACTGATATCAGGAAGAGATACAAATTTCCCCTTGCCTTTGCCTATTGCTCTAGTCAGGCCACCAACAGATTGAATGTGCATGTGTGTGTGGAGTGTGTGTGTGTGTGTGTCTTTATGGAAAACAGTTATAGATATGTCCTATTGGTCCTGTTTTCCTAGGGAATCCCAACTAACACCAAATACTAATAATAAATGTAGAACAAATGGCAGAACTAGAAAATCAGAAATAAATAGCTAGCATGGCATTATTAACTCAGCCCAGAAACAACTTTATCAGTCTACAAAAATAGATGTGACGTTCTTTTTCCCTGTACACAATACTATTTCTCACATCAGGACATGAACTAAATATAACTTGCTTTACAGATAGAATACACTGGAAGTAATGTTCTGGTACTTCCAAGTCTAGATTATAAAAAGTCTTGCAGTTTCCACCTAGGTCTCCTGGAATGGACACTCATAACTCCCTTCCTTTCTCTCTTCTTCTGTCTCAGAATTTGTCATCATGTTGCAATAAACTTAAATTATGTGGAGAGGCTATGGTTGGAAACCTTTCGCAGCCCCAGCTGAGGTTCCAGCCAACAGTCAGACTCAACTTTAGATCTATATATGTCAGTGAGCACCTTGTACATCCAGCCAAGACAAGCCTCCTGAGGACTGCAGGCCAACTGTCATTTGACTTCAGTATTATAAGAGGCCAAAAAGGAATGGTATAACTGAGCCCACTCAACACAACAGACCAGGCTGGAGTGCAATGGCATGATCCTGGCTCACCACAACCTCCACCTCTTGGGTTCAGGCAATTCTTCTGCCTCAGCCTCCTGAGTAGCTGGGATTACAGGCACACACCACCATGCCCAGCTAATTTTTTGTAGTTTTAGTAGAGACAGGGTTTCACCATGTTGACCAGGATGGTCTCGATCTCTTGACCTCGTGATCCACCCGGCTCGGCCTCCCAAAGTGCTGGGATTACAGGATGAGCCACCGCGCCCGGCCCAAGCCATTATATTTTTTAGTGTTTTGTTGCATAGCAGTCAATAATCGAAAAAATTAACTCATAACAGTTTAATGATATATAGAATAGTAGTATAGCCGTTAAATGCCTTCCCATAAAATATTTATTTAATTTAGAAGATAAAAAGAATGACATTACAGTGGAGGAAGCTGGCAATCACTGCTTAGTAAAGTGGTCAAAGTTAGTATCATCAGTAATGGGACAAGTTTAAACTATGCACCACCTGACAGGATGCAATAAGAAGAATACAGTACCACTCTAAGATATATCTATCAAAAATGCATAACCTGAATCCAATTACATTGAAAAATTAGACAAGCCTAAATTTAGAGACATCCTATTAAATAATTTGCATAAAATTTTCATGTAGAAGTTAGGAAAGTCTAGGAAAGACTGAGAGACTGCTTGAGTTTGAAGAAGATTAAAAACTAACATGATATCAGCAATGAACAAATTGAATTGGAAATTAGAAATGCAGTATCATTTATATTAGCACCAAAAAATGAAATACTTTGGTAAATCCAACAAAGTTTGTTCAATATCTATATAAAGAGAAACTATGAAGCTCTGATGAAAGAAATCAAAGAAGAACTAAATAAATGTACAGATGTTTCATGTTTATGTATAGAAGCATCAATATTGTCAAGATGCCAGTTCTCAAAATTATCTATACATTAAATGCAGTCTTAATTGAAATCCTGGAAAAGTATTTCGTGAATATCAACAAAGTGATTCTAACATTTATATGGTGAGATAAAGGCTCCAGAAGAGCCAACACAATATAGAAAAAAAAAAGCTGGAGGATTAACACTACCTAACTTCCAGACTTACTACACAGTTAAAGTGATCAAGACAATATGACATTGGGAAAAAAGAGGCACACAGACCAAGAGAATGGAATAGAAAACCCAAATACGCGCATATAAATACAGTCAATTGATCTTTGACAAAGAAGCAAAGGTAATACAATGAAAAAAAAAGATTTTCAACAAATGGTATGAGCACAAACTGGACATTCACATGTCAAAACACATGAATCTAAACACAGATATTATACTCTTCACAAAAATTAACTCCAAAAGGATCACAGACCTAAATTATAAAATGCAAAACTATAATACCCTAGAAGAAAACATAGAAGAATATCCAGATGACTTTGGGTGTGGTGGTGACTTTTTAGATACAAAATCAAGAGTGTGATTTCGTGAAGGAAATAATAAATAAACTGGACCTCATTAAAATTAAAAGAATCTGTTGTGCAGAAACAATGTCAGCAGAGTGAGAAGACAAGACACAGACTGGGAGAAAATATTTGCAAAAGACTTATTTGATATAGGGCTGTTACCCAAAGCTCAATAGTAAGAAAAAAATTAACTAATTTTTTAAAAAATGGGCAAAAGATCTGAACAGACACTTCACCAAAGAAGATACAGGTGGAAATTCATCACATAAAATGATAAAGTATTAGGGAATTACAACTTAAAGCACCAGTGAGATACCACTACATACCTATTAGAATGGTGAAAATTCAAAATTCCCACAACACAAATGTTGGTGAGAACAAGAAGAAACAGAAATTCTCATTTGTTCCTGACGGGAATGTGAAATCATACAGCCACTTTGGAAGACATGTAGGCAGCTTCTCACAAAATTAAACATACTTTCACCATATGATTCAGCAATTTAACTTCTTTGTGTCTATCCAAATGAGTTGGAAATGCATGCATACACAAAATCTCGAATGCAGATTACAGCATCTTCATTCATAATAAGGAGGCAACCAAGATGTCCTTTAGAGAGTGAATCAATACATAAACTATAGTGTATGCAGAAAATAAAATATTATTCAACACTAACAATAAATGAGCTATCAAACCATGAAAAGACAGGGAGGATACTTAAATATATATTACTAAGGGAAAAAAAGCCACACCGAAATGGCTACATACTAATATAATTCAAACTAAGTAACTTTCTGGACAACCCCAAAACTGTGGAGAGGGTAAAAAGATCAGTGGTTGCTAGGGGTTAGGTGGGAGGAAAGGAGGTGGAACAGATTTTTGAGGGCAGTGAAGCTATTCTGTATGATATTACAAAGGTGGATACATGTCATTACACATTTGTCAAATATAATAGTTTTCACAACACCAAGAGTAAACTTTAAGGTGAACTATGGACTTGGAGTGATAATGACATGTTAATGCAGGTTTATCAATTATAACAAATGCACCACTTTGTTGCAGGATCTCAACAGTTGTAGCGTGGGAGATTATTGGGGGAGGATGAAGGTATTTGGATTTCTGTACATTATGTTCAATTTTGTTGTGAAGCTAAAACAACTCTAAAAACTAAACTAATTTTTTAAGAGAAAGCTAAATGAAACATAGGATCTGATAGTAATGTTTCAATGTTTTTTTTTTTTTGATTATTGTATTGGTAGGTGAATGTCTTTGTAAGGATTACAGAATGAAGCATTTGGGAATAATGGGGCATTGTATTGATAACTCACTTAAGTGGTTTAGGTAAAACGTCATTATCCTGGTCTTGCAATTTTTCTATACACTCAGACTTATTTCAGAATAAAACTTAATTTTAGCATTTTAAAAAGTAGAAAATGAAATATTCCTTAATGCAACACTCTAGCCTACTTTAATATTATATAGATGTCAGATAAAACATAAGAAAGGTGCAACACAGCAAGAAATTTTACAAAAATTTTAAAACATTAGCCAAGGATATATGCCCCTGTAGTCCCAGCTACTTGGGAGGCTGAGGTGGGATGATCACTTGAGCCAGGGAGGTCAAAGCTGCAGTGAGATACGGTCATGCAAGTGCACTCCAGCCTGGGCAACAGAGTGAGATCCTGTCTCAAAAAAAAAAAAGTTGAGGTGGGTTATTTAACCTGGAAAATTGTCACCAACAAAAAGGTTATTTTTTTCTTTAAATACTTCAAATAAAAATATTGTTAATGATCTAGTGTTTAGGCTAATATGATGCATTGTTGTTTGTTTTATTGTTGTGATTAATAATTTGACCATATTTTACATATATTCTTTTGTGTGTATCAGATATTACATTGAAAAAAGTATATGGTATATGTCCTTCTAAAATACACACTGCATTTTACAAACATAAAAATAAAGAATCTCAAACAAAATTAATTGGCAACATCCTCCAGTAAAACAAAATTAATGGTTTTAACTTTTAAAACCACTTGAAGTTTTCCTAGTTTTTTGTTCAGGTTGCTCAATTTAGAGCTTATGAAGTTACAGTTTCTTCAAAAAAGGAAAACAAATATATTAGGTGAAGAGTTTTTACTATAAAAGAAATAACTAATTACCAGTGGCATCTGAAAAATGAAAATAAATACTCAGAAAATAAATGGTATCAGTGTTTAATAGCCAACATGAAATTTAAGTATATGCACAATGTAGGAGCAAAAGAAGAGCAGAAATTTTGTAAAATAATTTGATATTTCCCAAAAAAGCAAGAAGGATTTATCAACCAAAATACGACTTTTTTGCATTGCCACAACTTTGTTTTATCATTAGTACTGATTTAAATCATTAGAATGTGAAAATAATAAGAATAAATTATTTTGTTAACTGTTGTATCTTCAGTGCCTAGAGGAGTACCTGAGCAAATATTCAAAAACAGTTTTTGATTGAATTAATAAATGTATCACATCTAGGGATGTGGCACCATAATCTTCTAACTACTTGGGATACCTAGATAATCTTAATCCAGGCCAGGCCAAAAAAAATATACTGAACTCCACTTCAAACCTCAATTTAAAAAAAAAAAAAAAACCCTAAAACTAAAATAGTCCTCTTTTCTATTTACAAAATTAACAGTCATGTGGATGAAAAATAATGCCACTTTTCATGGTCCCTATTCAATAGTGTTTCCATCTTTGTAATTTTACAAATTACGCATTAGGACTTACAGATACAAGAACCATAACTATGTGAAGTTGATAAAATGTGAAGTTGATACATTAATTCCTGCCATGGATCAAGCATAGCATGATTGTCCTTAAAGAAAAGAAATTAAGTTACAAGGTGCTAAAGCAATAAGGAATTGTGGGAAGCATGGAGAAGGACAAAGAGGCAGGAGATTTTTAATCATAGGCTTTAATTTAAATCAGAAATTTCTGCTGAGAATTCCTTTGATAATTGCTTTTAATTTCTCTATCATTTGTCTTTTATGTTTTTAGCTATGTTCATTATGGGTAAGATTTTTAATTTAAAATAATTGTGCATACTGAATTCTCTTTTGCTTCAATTTTCATTTCATTACATTCCTTTAATATTACAATGAACAATGTATTCTGATGCATCCAGTTATTAAGGAACATTTGACTAGTCAAATAGAACTTTAGAAACCTTAGGTTCTATTTTTTAAATTCTATTTTAATGCATTCTTATAGCTTTTTATTCTTTTTATTATATGACTTTCCATATCTAATTAATTCCGCCAGCACAATAACTTGTTAAAATGCTTTGAGACAGTAAACAGCAGAAATATATGATATATATATATATATATATATATATATATATATATACACACACACAAATGTTTTGATTATTTTAAGTAAAGTGATTGGATATTAATTGCTTGAAATAGGTAAATTCATTCAAAACAGTTAAGTATTCTGTGTACATTAAAAAACTACAAAATCAAAATAAGAATGTTGGATGCTCCATATGATGCTACTCCCTTCCTAAAAATATTCAACAAGAAGCAATATATTTCATATTGTACTCAGAATGATTATAATCCAATTTCTAGTAAAAAAAAAAATCAGGCCTGGTGATGTCTCACACCTGTAATCCCAGTGCTTTTGGAGGCCAAGATGGAAAAATTGCTTGAGGCCAGGAGTTAAAGACTAATCTGGGCAACATAGTGAGACCCTGTCTCTACAGATTTTTTTTTAATAGCAATGTATAGTCGTATGCACCTGTTGTCCCAGCCACTTGGGAGGTTAAGTGAGAGGATTGCTTGAGCCCAGGAATTTGAGACTGCAGTGAGTTATGGTCATACTATTGCACTCCAGACTAGGTGACAGAGCAAGACTTCATCTAAAAGAAAATAAAAAAACAATAGAAAATCATATTTAATTTCTAGATACTTTATTAATATTGGTTATCTACTTCATTAGAATATAAGTTCAGCCTGAATTTAAAATGGCTTATACAAGGTAGACATAATTATCTAGGCTGATACATTAGATCTTCTGTTTAAAAATGACCAGGTTTCTAGGCTCCTTATTGTTGTTTCTTTCTACCACCCTAAAGTATCACAGCTTTCCTTTGAAAGCATTAGCTGGAAGTTGTACACATCACTTTCATTTATCTTCCCATGAACAGACCTTGATCATATGGCTACACCTAGCTGCAAGGGAGGCTGCCAAGCAGTCTTTATGCAGAACATCCATGGCCCAAATAAAGATTGTGAAAACAAGGAGCAATATCTGCCATAAGAAATGAATACAATAAAAACTCACAAATATATAAAATTACGTTCCATTTAAAAGTCAATTTTACAGCTATATGATTAAGAATTTAGAGCCTCTATGTTAAGGGTCATAACTGAATTCCAAAAGGGAAGTAATAAACAGAGAACATTTGAATTTTTTCAATATGGCTTTGAATATTTTACAAAGTAATACAAGTCCAGTGGAGCCAAACTTTACTAGAACATGCTACACACAAAATTTATCATTAAAAGACAGTGGTTTCCTTTACTTACATTCTTTCCTGTGTTGGAAATTGATGATCCAGTATTCTTTCTTCCTTTTTGTTCTCCCTTTCCTAAATAATTTCAACTTAATTCACTTATACACATGAAAAGCCCCCTCCCCCTGCCACTCACACACACTGGACAAACATAAAGCCATTTCACATCACAAAGAAATCAGCCTTTGTATAAACATTTGTTGCAGGCAGCAGAGTAGAGAGGCTGAAAGAATTGCAATACTGGAATGCTTGATGACAAGGCTAAGCTGCTAAACCAACTCACCTTGATGACATCCCTGGAAGATAATACATTTTCAGTCACTTGCTTCACAAAGCATTCTAACCGATAGGTAGATACTCTAGATAACTTTTCTCATTACTTCCAGAAACCCTGACCAATATGACTTCTAGAGTTCAGATAAGCTATATTTACAACCCCGAAATGCAAAGTTTTCAAAAAAATTATCAGAAGATCATGAAAAAAATCCCATAAACATTTTGAATGAGTTTGAATAAGACTAACACAATACAACTTAAGTTAAAGGTTAAGCAAATCAAAATATTTTAATTTTTAAAATACTGGTTTCATTAGGAACTCACTGAAACCTGTGTAATTCCTCATCTAATAATGTATCAATGTGACTCTCTAAAGTTCAACTGAGTACAAAATCAATGGCAGATGCTTGTTTTTCCAGCCCTGGGGAACTGTTTTCCTGCTAACATGTGTCTACTAACAGATTTTTAAAACTTTCTTTTCCTTTTTGCAGCAGCAGCAGTAGCAGTGGGCTTATCTTTTCCATAAGAAGAAACCTGAAAGCTTATCTATTCTCACCAGGGCAGAAGTACTGCATTTTTCAAATAGAACTTCAAATGTTCTCACTTTGCAACAGAAATTATCTTTAAAAGAGCTTGGAATAGATAGATTCTATTGCAAATAAGCAGTAATTTCCCTTACTGAAAAAAGAAATTACTGTATACTATTAGACTGATTTTTCCTCATCTTTCTTCCTTTTATTTTGTTATTATTCTTGATTTGTTTATAATTTATTATATTTGATATCAAAACATATAAAAATTGTCAGTGTTAAGTTTTTAAAAACAGTAAAAGGGACAGATGTTTTAAACCTCTGAATAAAAAATGAAGTAATATTAATGTGATTTAATATCAATTGCTTGAGTAAAACATGATCCAATCATTTCTAAATGAAACATATTTTGGGTTAAAATAATTCTGATAGACCTAAATAAGTCCTCCTAAGGGAATGTGTAGAGACATGTATTGGCTACTTACAATTTCATGGAGTACATACAGAGAGTTTCTCAACTCATGGCAACTCATCAGAAATTGGTTCCCTAAATATTAAATGCAGAAAAAGCATTGATACGTTCTATTTAATAGCACAAAGGCAAGCAAATCATACAAATGATTAAAACAAAATTAAATGTTGATATAAAGCTTGTCATTTCACAAAGCATAGGGAAACAAATTGCAGATGATAAAAATGGAAAATTATGCTTCTTGTTTGAATATATAGAAAGGTTAATTTTTTCTTTACTAAACTTGTAGATAAATAAGGACTATTAATACATTTCAAATAAATAAATAGTGTTTTCCAAAATCATCACAATAAGATACCACTAAGAAGCAGTTGGTTAAAAGCATAAAACCAGAATACCAGGGTTCAAACCTTGTCTCTACCACTTATTGACTGTGTGCCTTTAGCCAAATTAATGAACTTCTCTAGACCTCAGTTTCCTCACCTGCCCAATGGGAATAATGACAATAACAGTAGATAGTTCACGGGGCTATTACAAGAGTTAAAAAGTAAATCTAGGTAAGTATGTAGAACAGTCTATGTGCTCAAAAAATTATTAGTAACTTTATATACATAAAATGTTTTAATTCTCTATACATAACAATGGTTAATTAAAAGGACACTTCCATGTTTTTTATTTCAACATGTAACAGTCATACAAATATATAATGATAATTATTTTAGAATGACTGTTAAAAATAAAATTTAAAACTTCAGTCTGTTTTCTTACCTGTCTAAATGTTTATTTCTCCAGCTACATATTTTTAAAATAATAATTACACTGGTGATATTCATAAAGCATAAATGCAGTTAAACTAAATGCAGGTGAAAATTGTTTTTAATACATCATTACAGTTAATATATGTAAACCACCCAGTTGGGGCACTTCACAAAAAAATAATGTTTACTATTTTCAACCAGTATATGGATGGTTTTTTTCTCTTAATTCAGATTGTTTGTTGACAACTATTTTTCTTTGACTTAAATAAAGAAAGAATTTATTTGCATTTGTGACTTAATTACATTTTTTCTGCTCCCAAAATTATAAGTGTTAAGTTGCCATAGTATGTCCACACAAGATATTTTACTACCTATTTGGAAGTCAAATACTTTTTCATAATCAACAAACATTTACTGCATGTCAGTCAGATTTAGGACATCTCTTGGGTTCCAATCAAATTATCCAAAGAACTTGCAACTGGAAGACCTCACAACATGTTGGACAACTCTCTTCTTTCATAGGTGATGAAATTGATGTCCACAAAATAACTTATGCAGAGACGAGCCAAGATTACTGACTTTAGTTGGCAGATAATTCAGATTTCTGGCAGATGCTTGGAGTTTTCAGGGTCGCTGTCCTCAAGTTATGGCCAAGTTACTAGAAAATCGGATTCTCTGTAGAACAGTTAATAGATTTGATTTTAAAGGCATTGTTATGCCCTTTTATAAAGTTGTATTGAAACCTGGAGAAGGTCTCATCTTTAATTCCACTAAAAATACAGCACTATTAATAGACAAAAAAAAAGGTGATATCCATAGCCCTATCTAAAGTTTGTGAAAGAATCATTATGTTATCCTGATTAAAAAAAAATTGCTCTCCTTTGGTCAATCTGCCCCAGCTATTATCTGAGAACATCTAATCAAAAAGTGCTGGGCGACATGTTCTAACAAGAAAAGATGCAGTTGTGAGTTATTAGATGTTGGTTGACCCTTTATTTACAGTAGGAAAAAAAACTGCAAGAAGATATTCTTTGCCACAGATATTCTTGAATTCAGGCATATTTCTTGGGAGACAGGCAATTTTAAACTTTTAATCAATAAGAATATTTATATAATCTAGCTTCATTTTACTATATAGTCAATGACAATTAGAGAAAAATCTTTTCATAAGAGGAAAGAAAAGACTTACTATTCTACTTAGTGAATATTATCTGTGTAGATGACAAACCCTACAATTCCACAGGAAATTTTACTTACGTTTTCAATTTCTTTTTTAATTAAAATTTCTGATTAATTACCTTAATCTCAAATTATCTTTTTGATATAATTTTAAACACAGAATAAGCAGGAATTTAGGAGCACTTAAAATGAAAAGAATTTCCATGCCTCCTTGACTCCAATTTGATAAAAAAATTTGCTATTTCTTAAGATATATATATATATATACATATATCACTCTAATTATTAAAAATAACATGCACGCTTAAACACAAATTTGACAAAGTATTTATATTCAAATAATCTTAATATAAACACAATATTGTGTCATTCTCCCTACTTTTTCCACACTAGAAAGACAGTATACCTACCATTCCCATCTCTCACAGAACATTTTAAAGATTAAGCTCTCTGGTGCAAAAAAAAAAAGAGGGAGGGGGTAAACAATATCTTTGGTGGTAATTATTCAGATTCTAGTTTTAATGAGTATAAATGTCAAATGTGAAAAAAATAACAGAAGAAAGATGGAGTTTAAGACAGTATATGGAGTACATTCCTCTGAACATGAAATAAGAGAGGTCTAGAGGGGACCCTGAGCAGTAGGAAACTTGTTGCTTATTCCTGGCAGAATTCCTGAAGGAAAGACTATGAGACTGAAGAGAAGAATGGCTGTGTGGTCCAACTGAGAAGGTTCAACTAAAGGCACAAATCAGCCAAACTGAGTTGATTACCATTGTTGTTTGGTCTAAGAATGACACAGAAGCAGCAATAAGCTGATAGACCTGAAGGAGCCATTCTCAGTCACATTCAGTATTGATCGGTGATTAATGGCTTGAAATTCTCCTACCTCCAAACCGTGGCACAATCATCACTGAAGTTTGGGAAGAAGGTTTACTTCATTGTTCACTGGGTGTTCAGGCTGTGCTGCAGGATAGAATATCAGGAGTGCAGCCAATGTTAAAAGGCCAGTAAATGCCACCCAGGGGAAAAAAATAAAAAGACAATGTATGATTCAAGGTCATTGAGAACAGACAACACCCATTCCAGGCTCAAGAAGTGCAGCATCTATTCACAGTAAGATAAGAAAAGTGCATTAAATCTATCCCCTTGTAATGCATCTGTCTTTCACAGCTAGCAGACTCACGCCGCAGCCTTCGTGGGCAGTGCGGCTTCATGTACTCCACTTGGTGCTGCAGTGAAAGAACCTTGACCTCCTTTCTATGGTATCTGGAAAAAAATTGTGGGGAGAGGACATGTCTGAGGACTATTCAGACACACACAGAACAAAGAAGTATACACTGAGTCTGAAACAGCAAAAGATATTCCCAAATAAGGCCATAAGCCCTGGTCAGCCTGTGTGGGCCCCCTTAATTATGGGTAAGGAAGGGTTCCATGCCCATTTTTATGTGGCCCAGTGGGAGTGAAAAGACTGCACGCAAGAGATTGTCTTTCCCCATAAGCTTCAAAAAGCATAGCTGGATTATGACATCATCAATGTAGATCTTCTTTTAAATAAATGTGATGTCTCCTGCTGAAGTTAAAACCTAAACACACATTCGGAGATAGCTGAAACCAACAACAAAATCATTTCCCTGTCCAGTGTTTTTATTCTAGTATTTGCTTTTACTCCTTCTTCTTTACAATCAGTTTTCCCAATAAAAATTTAAAATCCATTCTATTTTCCTAAATATCTTTGACTGTATATTTAGAGTCTGTTAACCTTTATTTAAATGTGATGACCATCTACCTCTATTTTACTTCTTTCAAAAACTTCTTGACATCTTCACTGCTTCTACTTCTACTACTTTTACAGTCACTTCTACTTCTCACTACTTCTCCTTGACATCCTGAAATCTGCTTCAGCTGATGTCAGTGGAATCTAATATCTCAAAACAGATGTATTTGTACAAAAAGGCCACTGATTATATATGCTCACATAACCTGATAATGTTTTCCTTATTATCAGTGACTCTTTATGACTATCTTTTTCTCATTTTCCTTCATTATTCTGTTTCTTCTAACCTATTGATTTTCCAAATTTGTGTATGCACACACACAGCTACATACCTACACACACAAACACACAGAGAAGTGTACCTAGACATACATATAAACACACATCAAACCAGTTTGTCCATTTTGATATAATGATTTGCTGTGACTATTTTTATAGAAAAAATACTCAAGACCAACTGTGAATTATACGAGTGTCTCTAAACTTATAACACAATTTTATAGCCAGTCTACGCTAATTGCTTGATTGACTGAATGCAGAAAATAAATGATTAAAATGCTGGTAGACTAAAAATAGTTCTTGCTACTTTATTCTAAGCTATAATGATTATTTGGAGAGCCTACCTATACTGGTGGCAGTTACTTGTTATCAATAATTAATCTCCATTGGGCTATAAGAGATTAACCACTTCTTAACTTCCTCTTAATCATTTATCTTGAACTATTTTACTCTACATTTCCTTCAGGAAAAAAAAGAGTTCTCTTTCTAGCACAGAGCAATACTGATCACATAAGAATAGAAAATCTTCTCATTAAAGCCCTGAAGCTCATTAGAGAAGTTTAAGTTATTCTAACAGTTCTCTGATATTGTTGTATCCATGTAACAAAGAGCACTGACTTCCCTGCCAGTTAATAGTCGTGTATGAGCTGACCTAAATACTGAAGTACATGTTCTATGCCTTGTGGAAGATAGAGTTTTAGCTACTTTTATTAAAGCAATTAATTAAAAATGTATCTGCCAAAACACTATTCTTCCCTTAGTGCTATTACATTAGCACATTCTTATAAGCATGTTACAGATATGCTTCATTTTAATATAACTGATGTGTTTCTGAAAAGTCAGGTGATGGAACTCATCTAAGGTATGGAGATTTCAGACTAAAGGAAAATCTACACAAAATACTTTGTTAACTGAAGCATTCTGAGGTAAACAACTATCCTGTAATGTATGTTTTCCTGTAAAGTCATTGTGACAACATAAAAATAATAATATTCTATAAAGTTGGAAGAACATCAGCAAGACAAAACTAGAATGTAAGAAAGGAAAGGAAGAAAGCAAAAAGGTAGAAGAAATAGGACACAAAGACTTGGCAATGTGAGGATGGGGACAGGGGAAAAAGAGAAACTCACCTTCAGAAAGCAAGTTTGCTTAAAACTAGTTGGCAAGGAGTTTTGGAAATTATCTGAAGCAATGGTGAGCAATGAAGGAAACCATTTCAGAAAGGGAAAAAAGACTCCTATATTGTCTACAAAGTAAAATGTTCACAAATGAAAGATTTCCTCTCTTATGTAGTCTCTGAAATAGAAAAGGTATTCATGAAGCTAAGTATCAATTTTAAAGTTGTAGATCTCTCAAACTAAATAGTATAACAAATGCTACGCATTTTTTAAGTTCCATGGGAACTGCTGGATTAAACAAGCTAAACAAGTGTCATTTTCCACAAGCCTTTACTTTTCAGAGTTTAAGTATGTTAGCATGTATGGTGAAACTTCAACAGAAAGATAAAGCATTTCCCAAATGTAAACCACATAAACTTTTGCTAAAATTGTTTCTACATATTAAAGATCAGAGCACCAAAAATTACAAACAAAAATTTTACTAGAATATAAGTTTAAATGATATGAAGCAAAATGATATTAGGATAGTGGAAATAATTCAGTACAAGAACCTGATTAAATTTTTTTTGTTTTGTTTTGTTTTTTGCCAGTCAGTTTGAGCTTTATGAGGTTGCTCAGGTTAGCCTTGAACTGATGACCTCACCTTCGCGATCGCCATGACCTCCGGCGGGAGCCACTTTGGACCCGAACCTGATTAAATTTAATTTAAAGTATTAAGATTTTGGGTACTTGTGGGGCTGGACATAAATGGCTAGTGTAGAATAAAATGTCCTTCTTGACAATGCTATGGAGAGAAGACAAAAGGTGCTATGTGCCAACTAGAAAAAGCAGTGGGCTTGATAACTGCACAGGATTTCAAAATATTAAAAAACATATAAACAAATAAAATCTAGAAGACTCTTAGATATATTCAAATTAAAATTTATGGGAATGCTATTTTCACAAGTTTCAGTAAGCTAGAGCATGAAAAATAATAGATAGAAAAGGCTTAAATCCAAAGATGAGCCAAACTTTTGTAGTTTGGTATTTCCCAAATATCAGGCACGTTATAAAACTTTCTGCGCTATTTATAGGTATTGTTGCTTCATAAAACACAGTTCAGTATCATGATACATAAGCTACATTATGAAAGCCTTAAGCTTTTCAGTTACCACGTGTAGACCAGATCCTACTTTAATCAACATTCCAATGTGATTTGTGATCTTAAGCCAGATTTCTTGTTGAAAACCTAGGTTTTGACTTACATAAATAAATGGATAGTGAACAAAAATAAAAAGGAAATTTGAGGGGAAGGGATGAGGAGCTGAGTGGTTCAGTTTTGACTATGTTGGTCTGGAGATGCCCGTGGGACATTTAGATGGGGATTATAAATAAGCAGTTGAATGTTAACATCTGAAATTCAAAAATAAGTTCATCTAAAGGTAAATATTTAGAATTCATTAAGAAATTATGGTCATTAAATTGAAGGAAGTAGTGAAGATCAATCAGATGGACTTTCAGATGGGCAATATAGAGTGACACGAGAAGGCATTCAGGCCAAGAAAAAATAAAGAGAAAGCACCTGAAGAAGAAAAACTTATTTAATTCTTAGTCAGAGAAAGATAAGAATTCTGGCTCACCCCTGTAATCCCAGCCAATGAGGGAGATAACAAGATCAGGAGTTCAAGACAAACCTGGACAACATGGTGAAATCCAGTCTCTACTAAAAACGCAAAAATTAGATGGGCATGGTGGTGCATTCCAGTAGTCCCAGTTCCTTGGGAGGCTGAGGCAGGAAAACTGCCTGAACTCAGGAGGTGGAGGTTGCAGTGAGCTGAGATCACGCCACTGTACTTCATCCTGGGCAACAGAGCAAAGACTCTGAAAAAAAAGGGAAAGAAACAGAGAGAGAGAGAGAAAGAAGGAGAGAAAGAGACAGGGAGGAGGGAGGGAAGGAAGGGAGGAAGGAAGGGAAGGAAGGAAAGAAAAGAAAGAAAAAGAAAAGAATCCTTTATAGAATGATGACTTAAAGCAGCCAGGCATGTATACGGCGCACTCACAGACTTAGCAGAAAATACAAGACTTAACTAACACATAACCCTCAAGAAGTTTATACTTTAGTGGATGGCATGAGAAGTATAAACAGTATAAAATAATTAAAACATAGCATGAAGCAAGTGCTGTGAAATAACCATAAATGTTCAGAGACAGAAAATATCTGAATTTGCTCTGATCTGTATGGAATGTGCTCTCTGTGATGACTATCCTCACAATTCACCACTCAAACACACAAACCCTTCAAGGTTCAAGCTCAAATGCCATATCCTCTTGGAGACATTCCTGAATTGCTAACATATACAAACTCTATCCTTTAAATCTGTATTGCACACTGTTTACATTTATCTCAGAGTTCTCTTTTACCACACTTGTACATGCTTGCCCTTGTCTAATCTCTCCTATGTTCTCCAGTTCATTTGGCTTACCCTTAGCCTAAAGAAAAAGAATCAATAATTACTTACAGTTAAAGTGACAAAGAAATCTATTAAAGAATTATTGGACATCCACTCCATATTTATTTACTGTATACATATAGCAAGCACTAGGAAATAGATTAATAAAATGGCCAAGCATTTACAGAGTTGACAATATAGTTATCTATTTAAATCTAAATCTAAACATTAAATTTCAAGGATTCACATCAATAGTGTTATTGGCAGCCGTGATAATACCTTAAGGCTAATTTCAAGAAAAAAAGATTTACCCAACACAAATTTTTAAACCTCATTCTTTACAATGTACAAGGACCTAAACATTCAACTAATCTTGCAAGCAGGGCCTGTTTTTTTATCCAATTAGGGGTAGAGCTCTTCCCCCATCATCCAGCCATGTTGTTTGCAATTTTTAAAAAAGATAGAACTGGTGAGTAGAAAACTAAGCAGTAGCTCAGGGACTGAAAATAAATGATGACATTTGATTGCTAATAGCTTCAGTATATCAACAGTAGATCAATATCTTTTTACCACATGTAACTTAAATCTTATTTTACTTATTGTTTGAATTTATCACCAATACATTTTTTATTCAAGTGCCATGATGAAATAATATATTTTCATTAGAATGTTTACCACAGATTTATAAAAATTAAATTTCACTATTTTCAATTTATGTTGATTTTGTCATTGATGCTGTCCTTTATTTAAATCAACAACAGTAATTTTCTCATTTAAAATAAAAACCAAAATATTCAAGAATGATGTACATCCTTTGCACATTATAAATTTTTATAGTGGTCATAATAAGCTCAATTTTTTTCTTTGTAAATCAGCCAGAACTCAAAGTGACCTACAATGGAGAGAAAATTCAAAAATTAAATTCATCTTTTAAACAAAAAATCTTTCTGTGTTCATTTCCATAGTCAGTGGACCCTCAAACAGCTGCCTCAAGCATTCTGCTAACTCATACTCAAAAATCTCAACAACAAATTCAGCCAGACAAGATGTAAAATGATTGTAAAGTTGAAAGGGTTGATTTTTTTCACAGATAGTTGAGTTTTAGCAAGGTAAAGCCTTAAGCGAAGAGAAATAATTTCTAATTGAGAAACTCAGACATCAGCTAGTAAATGAACATAATGATATATAAAAAAGGGCTTTGGGATCTACTAGAGACTTGTGACATACCTAACCCAATATTACATCAAAACATAAGTTTGGCCCTAATAGGAAATTAGAAAATAATCACAATCCTACATAAATGAACATTATTCTCTTTCTTTTAACTATCAAATCTCTAATATTAAGTTGTAGTTGAAGAATTATTCATTAACAATATGTATACAACTATACAACCTTTGATAAACCTGACAAAAACAAGCAATGGGGAAAGGATTCCATGTTTAACAAATGGTGTTGGGAAAACTGGCTAGCCATGTGCAGAAAGCAGAAACTGGACCCCTTCCTGACACCTTACACTAAAATTAACTCCAGATGGATTAAAGACTTAAACATAAGACCTAACACCATAAAAACCCTAGAAGAAAATCTAGGCAAAACCATCCAGGACATAGGAGTAGGCAAGGACTTCATGACCAAAACACCAAAAGCATTGGCAACAAAAGCCAAAATAGACAAATGGGACCTAATCAAACTCCACAGCTTCTGCACGGCAAAAGAAACAGTCACTAGAGTGGATCGGCAACCAACAGAATGGGAAAACATTTTCGCAGTCTACCCATCTGACAAAGGGCTGATATCCAGAATTTACAAAGAACTCAAACAGATTTACAGGAAAAAAACAAACAAGCCCATTCAAAAGTGGGCAAAGGATATGAACAGATACTTTACGAAAGAAGACATATATGAGGCCAACAATCATATGAAAAAATGCTCATCGTCACTGGTCATCAGAGAGATGCAAATCAAAACCACATTGAGATAACATCTCACGCCAGTTAGAATGGCAATCATTAAAAAATCTGGAGACAACAGATGCTGGAGAGGATGTGGAGAAAAAGGAACACTTTTACACTGTTGGTGGGAGTGTAAATTAGTTCAACCATTGTGGAAGACAGTGTGGCGATTCCTCAAGGCCTTAGAAATAGAAATTCCATTTGACCCAGCAATCCCATGACTGGGTGTATATCCAAAAGACTATAAATCGTTCTACTATAAGGACACATGTACACGAATGTTCATTGCAGCACTGTTTACAATAGCAAAGACCTGGAATCAACCAAAATGTCCATTGATAATAGACTGGATTGGAAAAATGTGGCACATATACACCATGGAATATTATGCAGCAATCAGAAATGATGAGTTTGTGTCGTTTGTAGGGACATGGATGAATCTGGAGAACATCATCCTCAGCAAACTGACACAAGAACAGAAAATGAAACACCGCATATTCTCACTCATAGGTGGGTGATGAAAAATGAGAACACATGGACACAGAAAGGGGAGTACTAAACACTGGGGTCTGTTGGGGGGAAAAGGGGAGGGCCAGTGGGAGGGGGTGGTGGGGAGGGATAGCCTGGGGAGAAATGCCAAATGTGGGTGAAGGGGAGAAGAAAAGCAAAGCACACTGCCATGTGTGTACCCACGCAACTGTCTTGCATGCTCTGCTCATGTTCCCCAAAACCTAAAATCCAATAAAAAATTTAAAAAAATTAAAAAATAAATAAAGGGGGCTTCGTTTCATTTCCCTAGTAAACTTCCCATCAAAGTTATCTTTGCAGGTTATTACAAAAGAGGGCACTTTATAAGCTATTTAGTAAGCAAAGCTTTTTGAGCCTAATTCCAGGGGAAAAAAAGAGATTTAAATATATTTTGATCTACTAAGAATGTATTTTTCTTTGCAGAGTTAGAGGTAGAATATTCTAAATGAAAATGACTGGAAACAGATTCACAAGACATAGATAAATCACAAGAGAGGTTTAATATTGATTCTATTTTCCCAAGACCAAATAAGTTGAAAAAAATAAGAGTATAAAACTCATGTCCAATAAAAGATTATTATTTTCAACCGTATAGGCAGGTGTAAAACACAGTCTACAGAAAAATAAAGGTAGTATTATTCCAATTTAAGGTTCCATTCAGAACCATATCAATCTTTATTCTTTTCACAAAGAAAAAAATTGCACATCATCAGGAAACTTCAATAGGATCAACAAACACCACAAACCATAAAGTGGAGACTATTAGTTGTCTACCAAAAATACTCTCCTTGTATTCCTGCATGCAAGACTAAAGGGAGAATTCCAGCCTCCTTTTCATAGTGGACTCCTTTTGTCCACAGAATTTAATGTGATATGTGTCCCTGATGGCCCTAAGTCTTAGGACCATGTGTATACTTCCATGTTATCTTTCCCCTTATCATCAGCTGGGATGGCAGCTGACCCTGTCTCTGCCATGCAGAAGATGACAGTCCTGCAGGATAATACTGCAATTAATGGAAAGAACCTTAATTCCTGAATAACCTCATGGAGCAGAAGTCAATTTGGATTGTTATGTAAAGGACAAATCAAGTTCTATCTTCTTTAACTTACCGAATCATTGTTCTCTTTGTTACACCCTAATTCAGACCAATACTTCCTGTTAACTGAAACTGTCAAAGAAATACCATTATCAGTACTTGCTTCCATTATCCTTGATCAATATAGGCCTGGCTCCAATTGGGAGTGGTCAAACATTCATATCTCCAAGTATAAGCAATCTTTGAGAATGCACAGCTAACAAGTATTCCTACCAATGTACCCCAAACATGGTAGAACAGCAGTTGTACATAATCAGGTTTTATAATTCCACTTCATATAAAAATTTGGAACTCTCATATTGCTTAGAGGCAGTCTGGTGACCAATTTTTTTAAAAATATACTTATTAGAAAGTAACATTTAGCATTTCAAAAAATCATCTAGATGTTTTTCAACAGGCAAATTTCCATAATCATTCTAGATTTTTTATTTTATTTTAGGGATCACATGACATATAGGTGAATCGCTTCCAAACTAATTGATATTTCAGGAATTCCTGAAAACATCACTTCTCAACATCACATAGTCTCCCTTATTTACACAAAAATGCTTGGCTTTTCTTTAGCAGAGGAAAATGTCTTTTATTATCCACTTCAGGTTAGCTTGAGGTAATATTCTGAGAAGTAAAAACAATTTAAATTTATATCCAGTTATAAATGGTTGATTTCGGTTATGAATGATTGATTGAAACAGTTTTTAGTAAAAAATGTAAAAATGAGACAGGTATTTCTTCAGATGAAATGGTGTAATTCATCTACTATTCAATTTTGTTAGGATTGGTTGGCTCCGCTGCAAATGAAATAGTAGTAAAAAGACAAGAAATCAGCAGATGGTTGAAATAATCAAAGTAGGAAGGAACACAGCATTGTTAACAGGAGATTTGTGATTAAGTCTGCAGGCTATAATTAGGTAAACATTTAGTATACATGGATACAAATAAGGAAACAACAGACAGCAGTGCCTACTTGAGGGTGGAGGTGAGAGGAGGAATAAGGTTGGAAAACTACCTATCAGGTCCCATGATTATTACCAGGCTGATGAAATAATCAGCACACCAAACCCCCCATGATACACAAATTATCTGCGTAACAACTCTACACATGTACCCCTGAACCTAAAATAACTTTTCATTTTTTAAGAATTAGCTTTATATGGAGGCAGTTAACCACCTTTTATGTTTTTCCTAGGATGTATGTAAGGAGCTCAGTTTCTTCCTCTGAAATTTAGCCCACTTAATCATTGATAGCCAAAATTATTTTCTTAAACTGACAATAATCCAGGATATTTAACATCTCTAAGCCAGTTTTCCCATCTATAAAATAACAAAAAATAACACCTACTTTATAAATTCATTTTAGGGTTAAAAAATCATATATGTAGAGTGTCAACAAAATTCCTAGCATACTTTGAAAAATATTCGTTTGTTTGTCTTTCTTTTCACTCTTTTAACATTACATAAAATGTAAAGATTTTCAGAAACTTCCCTTGCGTAAGCCAAATACCAGAATCCAGCAAAATATTCATATATTACACAATTACTGTGAATGCATCAGCTTTGCTTTGCCGACTTTTCATTTATTATAATAAAGGCTAACATTTGAAGTATGTTTTCAACTTTATGCCACAATCTTTAAAAGGTTTTACAGATGCAGAAAGTGAAATGCAGATTGATGAAGAAACATGCCCAAGGTCAGACAGCTGGTAAATTGAAGAGCTGAAGTTTTTACATAGGCAATCTAACTCCAGAGCTCATGGAGCTCAATTTTATTTTCATAATTGTCTGTCTGGACATAAAATTGCACAGTCCTATTTCTGTATTTGCTATCTCACAGTTCTTGAAAAGATCACTCTACAGCTTGGTGTGGTGGTACACACCTGTAGTCCCAGTATTCAGGAGTGAGCCTGTAGTGCAGTATGGTCATGCCTGTGAATAGCCACTGCACTCTAGACTGGGCAACAGAACAAGATCTCATTTACTAAGTAAATAAATAGCGGTCTGCTCTGAACCTACATCTTTTAATCCCCTTACTATACACAGCCTTCTATTGACAATTATTTTCATTTCATCAAAATATTCATATTTATAAAATATTGCCACAATTAATCTAAGAGTCAATTATTTATGGTTAGTCTAATAAAGGAAATGTTTTTGCAACTATTAAACTTTAGAGCTGAAGGGATTTAAAAACAAATCTGCAATTTCACTTTTTGCTTCTAAATTGAGCATTACCCTTAACCAATTAGAACAGATTAAATAGCAAGGATTTAAATCTCCTTTACTCTACAAAGCCCATCATCTTACAAAATTAACTCTTTAAATGATGCATTTTATGGACATCATCACCACAAAAATATAAAGGAATAAAACATTTTCTTAAGGAACAGGGACATGTCCTTAAGACAAAATATTGTCTTAATGAACAGGGACATAGAACATTAGGCAAAAGTAGATGTAGACTAGATTTTAATTACATGCTGTGCCATATTTTATTTTAGCATTTTTAAGATTATCATTCCATTATTTTTTGGATTTTACTATTCATTTTGAGAAGAAAGATAAAATTCCTATTTTGCCTTTATTTGCTCCTTTGAAGGTAATTTTTTTTTAATCTGTTGGCTGTTTTTAAGATTTCTTTTTATTTTTCATCTTTGGTTTTTGGAAGTTTTATTCTAATGTGATTGCATGTAGTTTTCTCTGCATTTATCCTATTTGGGGTTCTTAGCATTTCCTGTCTTCATACTTCTAGTCAATTTTGGAATTTTCTTCTGTCCTATCTCTTATTGTTTCTACCTCATCTTCTCTCTGATCTTTCTGCTTTGGATCAGATCCTTGTCACTAATATAAATTCTTTCAACAGGCTTCTAACTGTCCTTCTGGCCTCTAATCCTTATAGTGCTTAAATATATCTTCTTTACAAGATCCTTCTCCTTTCACAAAAATATTCAGTGCTTGTAAGATAAAGTCCAGTGTCCTTAGTAGAGTGTATCTACAAGGCCCTCCATAATACAATACCTAGAAATTATTTCAGCAGGTTGGGCATGGTGGTTCATGTCTATAATCCCAACAGTTTGCAAGGCCAAGGCAGGTGGATCACTTGAGGCTAGGAGTTTCAGACTAGGCTGGACAGTATGGTGAAAGCCCATCTCTACTAAAAATACAAAAATTAAAAATTAGCTGGGCATGGTGGTGTGTTCCTGTACTCCTAGCTACTCTGTGGACTAAGCGGGAGAGTTGCTTGAATTCAGGATGCGGAGGTTGCAGTGAGCTAAAATAGCCACACTATACTTTAGCCCGGGTGACAGAGCAAGATTTGAGACTCCATCTCAAAAAAAAAAAAAAATCAGCTCAATGTTCCCTGCTGTTTCTAGTTTGTTATTTTAGCCCTAAAATAACCTGTTACTTCTTATACTTCTGACTCAAATTCATACTAGGTCTTAGTGATACATCTTCTCATCTCTTCTGAGACAGCACTAAAATAAAAATATAAATGCACAGATAATAGAATTAATACCTAACTAAGAAGAATGTAGGAAAGAAGTTTATACAAAATGAGGGATAATAGCAGATCTCTAACTGGAAAATGCAGAACAAAGTACTAAATGGTAACAGTAAAGATCTAGAAAATATAGAACTCTGATACAGTGTAAAGCAGAATTGCAGAGTCAGAAAGCATAAAGGAACAGATAAAAGACCTAAAGAAGTCATATGGAGGCCTCATATTGGCATAATAGACATCCAAAAACAACATGAATACCAGAAAAATGGAGATGAATAAATCAACAGAGAACTGATAGAATCAAATTCCTCCAAGTTGAAAGATACAAGTATCTAAAGAGAAAAGTGTCAAGTGGAATGATTACAGTAAAGACCCATACCTAGAGTTAATCATAAAAGCTTCCAAGATTAAAAACAGGTTATCTAAAAACAGTAAGTTGGCCAGGTGTGGCTCACACCTGTAGTTCCAGGTACTTGGGAGGCTGAGGTGGGAGGATCACTGGAGTCCAGGAGTTCAAGGCTGCCGTGAGCTGTGACTACACTGCTGCATTCCAGCCTATGGGAAAGGGTGAGACCCCAATTCTAAACAAAAAAAAAAAAAGAGAATGGATTAAAGATATCACCAACATTGAATGCTAAGATAAGAAAAATAGACGAACACCTTACAGTTTTTGAGAAAATATTTTTGACTCAAAAATGATACTTCCAGTTTAATTACACATATATAGATACACATGCATATATACACACACAACAGAATAAAAGCATCTGCTAATACAGTATGTATTTACCACATACTCTTTAAAGAAGGGGTTCACTAGAAAAATAAGAAATAAAAAGAGTAAGATAATAAAGAGAAGAAAGAAGAGGAAGAAGAGGAGAGACAGGATTCTAAAAGAGTGGGTCCCACCCAGGAAAGCAATGCAGGATATTTCTGTATGGCAGTTCTAGAGAGTAACTGACTCCTATTACAGTAGAAGGATTGATGATGTCAGGAGGAAGGCATGTGAGAAAACACCTCCATTTGAGAATCACTGGGAGAATGTATGAAAAACACAATAAAGACCTATGTTACCTCTTTAAAACAAAAAATGTGGTAATATAGTGAAGCCAAAAAAAAAAAAAAAAAAAAACGGAGAGAGAAAGCAAAGTCCATTGCAATTGCTAACCCAAAGAAAATAAAGGAAGAATGTTGTATAAAAAGCCATGACACAAATGGAAAAAAAATCTCTGGCATGGTTTTCAGCAATTGATAATGAGAAAAGAGAAATAGCACAATGTATGACTTAGGATAGTCATAAAAATGTAAATTTCCAGACTTAATTCATGGAGAAAGAGTGAAAGATTTGGTTACTGCTTAATTTCAAAACACAAATTATAACGGTCTTAATAAAATAAAAATAGGTTAGTAAATAAATGGTGGGAACTAAGGGAGTTAAAAGGTAGAGGAAAGAATGGGGATGAAAATATCTCATAATAATGTATCAGGATATTACTAGTATCACAAAAGTAACCTGTGGAAGTAATGAATTATAAATAACTCTAAACCACCCAAAGTAAGTATAATAATATAATTTAGTATCACGGAGGAATCACAAAAAGAAATACAAATGAAGTATTTAAAAATCTAGCCTGGGAACATGGCAAAACCCTAACTCTACAACTTTTTGTTTTAATCAGCCAGTATGGTGGCCTGCACCTATGGTCCCAGCTAATTGGGACGCTGAGGTAGGAGGACCAATTGACCCATGAGGTCGAGGCTGCAGTGGGCTGTGATCACACCACTGCACTGAAGCGTGGCTGATAGAATGAGACCCTGTCTCAGGAAGAAAAATAAGTACTTAAAAGAGTTCACAGCCAGGAATCCAAATAGCTGTTGAAGAGAAATCATTCTGTTATTTTATCATAAGTTCTTCTAAATTAGTTGATTAAATTTTCATGTATTATATTGATGTTTTTAAGATAATTTTTGAAGACAGAGATTGAATGACATTTCTCCCATGAAGCAATCTGAAGACCCAAGAGGCTTTCATAGAACCCAGTACACACCTCCAGTGTGGCACTAATTTTATGCTATACATATGGCCATGTGTTCATCTCCTCTATCAGACTCTGAGTCTCACTGGAGTAGGAACTACATTTTATTCGTTACTCTATCTTCATCATCTAGTATAGTATCTGGTACAGCATAGATAGTGATAAAATGCTTAGTTAATGAGTAAATAACCACATTGGGCAATCTATATTAAAATTAATATTTAAATCCCTTATGGGAATTAATATAGATATTTATCAGATACACTACTGAATTCCTTCTTTGTATCACTGCATAATTTAACTTTCTAACAACAGTAGAATGGGATAGAGATAATGTAAAGCTACAAGTTTCCACACCACCCGAATTTTATCAGGTACCCCAAAGAAACTTGAACAATTAATGTAATATTCAAAATTTTTCACAACTAGATTTCGAACATTTATCTGAAGTCAGTTACAAGTCTATCTGGTTTTCAATCAATTCATCATGTTCAAAAATGTTAATATCACTCACTAGCTCACAGCATGACACTATCAGCTTTAATGTGGTATTATTTCATAGCAATGTTGCAATTACAATTTAGTCCACATTGATCAGTAAAAGTTAAAGGGCAAAATTAATTAATGGAAATAGTAAAAGGGCAAAATATTAATATGATGAAACATCCAAAATGCTTAGATTGTAGAGAAGCACTGCTATTTTGAGATTATCCATGTTGATTTGCAAAAGAACAGAAGGAGAAATCTGTGAATAAAACTGAATTTCAACACACTAAATTTTATGTCAACATTTTAAAAATAATTACCCAAAATGACCACAAGTGAGTCTCATTATAGATTTGAAACTTCTGACTAACAGACCTAACAATGACTAATGACATTACAAATAAGTTGTGAAGAAAATGTACAGCAGCTGTATTAGAACTATGCCTTCCAAGTTAGTGTGTGGATTTATACCAAAACCTAATAAAAAACCATGACTCAATTTTTATTAAAGTGCATAAAAAGTTTAAGACACCACATTATATCAAGTAGATTTTTTAAGCTTAAAATATTTTTCTGATAAATTTTATTTGAATACATAAGAAACAATATAATATTCGAATAATTCAACATATTTGAATAATATATGGTGACTTAAGATCAATCAAAGCAGTTGATGACAGGGAATATTCTTATCTTTTGGAGCATTTGTCTGACTTCCAGAGTCCCAACATAAACTCAATCCAGAAATAAAATTAGAGTCTTACATTTGCTATTTATAAACCTCCATCACTTACATTTCTCTTGCTCTTGAGAATAAATTTCAGAGTTAGACCTGGCAGGTAGTTTGAACTCCATTTCAGATAGACAGAACATGAGAGAGGGTAGAATAAGAAACCAATGTCAAAGTTATTGAGTATTAGAATGCGTCTAGGATTTGGGGCTTCTGATGTTCAATAATCTTTCTACTAACTGCTGGTTCCCAGCTTTTTTAAGCTGCTGAAATTCACATATCCTACCAGGTCTCAATTAGGAGTTATTTTGTAAAATACTTAAATCTATTATGAGTTATGATTATAACCTACCTGTATTATAAGTATCAAAAGCCCCTTTTATTGTCAAACTGCAGTCCATCAACCATTAGTAGTTGGTAAATAGCATATTTGAGTCCCAACCAGTAAGTTTTTAAATAGAATATAATAGAACAGAAACTATCAGAATTTATCACAAGTAATAAGGGTATTTTGGAAAACTGTCTTTTCAGTTGTATATGTCTACATATGTGTATATGTAGATATATGTATTTGTGACCTAGGTCATGATACAACCTGCCTTTCTCACTGTAGGTTGAGGGAAGAGCACACTGAAAACACTACTGTAAGATAGAAAACAAGATTAAGAACTTAAGTCAAGTTGGAATTAATCTACCAAAGTTATTAGTGGGTTACTCAGTAGGACTGAGAACCTCACAGGAAGTTTTTAATGAAGGAAGCCTGAGAAAAGAGAAAACTACAGTGCATGGCTGCTGCCTAAAATCTTGAGAAGACTGCCATGAGGAATGTGGAACCACCATAGGGCAACATGAGTTGCTGAGCACTAGAACTGAGGAAGCTAAAAGTAGTCACACAGAGAAACAGTGATTTGAGTTAGCAATAATTTCAACTTTGTATACTATAAAACTGTGTCCAAGGATACTCTCTTTATGCTTACCTCTGCATATCTAGATATAAAACAAATGTATTACATGTATATATAAAACAAAGATATTAGTTCCTGCCCTTGCCTCCCTCATAAATGTACCAAAGGAGAGGAGCTATGAAAGTGCTTTGAGTTTGTCAAAACAATTCATTGTGATAGGAGTTACCTGCATCCCATGAGGAGCTAAAGCTTAGGATCACTTGACCTCCCTACTTTATACAGTACAGCCTTAGAGTCATCAGAAGGCCAGTTTTAAAGAAAAGCCTGTATTAATTTATTCTAAGAATTTACAGTAGTGCTTGGTAGGTCTTCAGTTTATGCTTTTCACTTTTCTCTCCTGCTTATCTCCCTTTTCCCCCCTTTTCCCAGGTAAATCCCATGAGCAATCATTGCAATTACTCTTTTTTCATCCCTAATTCCTTTACCTGTCTTGTTCAGTCATTTGTCTGAATCACAACCCTGGTTATATATTATTTTCTGTCTTGCTAGTTCTGGAAGTCCTACAACTAACATGGTTTAGGAAAACATGCAGCAGGTAAAGTGGTTTCATTTAAATTCATAACCATGTGTTTCAGGTAGGTCCACAACGCTGCCTGGCAATCATAGTACATTTGTCTTGTCTCTTACTCTCCCACTGTTCTTGATGACATTTTCATGCCTAATCTTCCCTTCTCATATTTCAAACACTTCCATTATTATGCTCATTTTCAGCTGACCTTGCTTCCTAGTCTACTGAGAAAACTGAAGTAATCAGAAGAGAATACCCACAACCTACTGAATCCATGTACTTTGCTGTCCCCCCTGAAATGAAAGATGGTTATCAGTATTCCCATCTAAGTCCAATCCCTTCTGCCTTGTGCATTTGATCCTATCTCACTTCCCTACTCAAGAATATGCCTCCAGCAATTCTTCCTTCTCTCCTATAGCAACAGATTTTACTTTTACCTCTTTACTGTATCATTTCCACCACAGATTAAACTTACTTTTCTCCCATTAAAAAACCCTCTCTTGGCTCCACCTCCTCTATAGTTAATGTGTCTTCCCTCGTTTCCCTTTCAGGAAAATTGCTCAATAAACTATCTAGACACTATCTCAAATTTTTCTTCCCATTCATTTTTAATCATCATCCAAGAGGCTTTCATCTCCTCTATTCTAACAAATCTGTTCTCCTCATGGTTACCAATGATCTTCATATTGCTAAATCCAGTCAATTTTCTCTTCTTATTTTACTTGACCTATCAACAACATTTGATGCAATTGATCAACAACACTTCTTTCTTTCTTTCTTTCTTTCTTTCTTTCTTTCTTTCTTTCTTTCTTTCTTTCTTTCTTTCTTTCTTTCTCTCTCTCTCTTTCTTTCTCTC